TGTGTGTGTGTGTGTGTGTGTGTGTGTGTGTGTATGTAAAAGGCTTTTATAAGTCATTAATAAAAATGTGAACACTCCCTTAGAAAACTGGGCAAAATTCCCAAACTGGAAATATAAAAGCCAGAACTATAGATGGCCGTAAACTTCTGAAAAGATGTTCAATCTCAGAAATAAGTAAAGCGATGCAAACTTAAAGAGAGAAATCGTTTTTCACCTTGCAGGTTGGTAAAGACTGCGAGGGCGAGAACGGCCGTGGGGGTGTAAGTTGGAATAAATGTTATGGGTGTCGTCAATAGGCATAAATTTTAAAAACCCTCAAATGCACGTGCCTTTGACTGGCAACCACAGTTTTCCTAAGGAAATAACCACAGAGTGTGCAGAGATACACATTCATCTCGGCTTGTGCATAGTGTCGGAATATTGGAAGCCGCTGGTCCCTTATGAAGGGTTGGTTAGTAAGGAGTAAGGAGTTGCCGAAACTAAATCTCTCGAGGCCGAATAGCAGAACACTAGAGGCCCATCCAAAGTGATGCTGCTCTGTAGCGACATGGAAGGAAGTACACGAGATCTTCGGTGAGAAAAACAGATTATAGAGGAGGAGGGAGATGTATCTTCAGATCATTCTAGAGCTGTGCTTTCTAGACCGTGACTACAGCCACGTGTGGCTCTTTAAAGTTAATGGAGAGCAAACAAAGTTCCATTCAGTTCCTCCGTTTGCACTGGCCACACCTCGTGCTCCGTGGCGCTGCACTGGACGGCCCGTTGCTGTCACAGAAGGTTCTGCCGCCTGCTCTGGAAGGCCGGTCCCCGGACGCTGGCAGCGACTGTTTCTGAATGGAGAGGTTGCAGATAATCTTCCCCTCTTTTGCTTATACGTCTCTACAGTTTCTTAAATATTGACAGCTTTATTTCTCCCTATTACCAGAAAAAAGTAAATAACTATATTTTGAAAAAATAGTGCAGCATTGTATTTCTAAGGATTCACAACGCTTTTGCCTTTCCACAGTGAGCTGAATGCCAAGTCGAGGGAGCTACACCTGCAGATTTCGGAGGCGGGCTCAGGAGGTGGGTGCTGAGCAGACGGACAGAGGCCCTGCCCTGGGGAAGGTCGCAGGGGCCTGGGGGAGGGAGGCGAGACCCAGCAGAGGGACCTGACCCCTCCCCTAAACTGCTCTGGGTTTTCCCGGGGAATGTTTGGTGGAAAAGCAGTTTCAGTTATTTACAAGGTCATACATTTTGGGGAAATGTTCGACTTGGTTTTTCATTTGTTTTTGTTTTTTAACAAAAAAAATTCCAAAATCTTTTATTCAACACTTCTTGGCTTAGAGAAGCAGTTCCGAACCCTCCTATCCTCAACAGATCTCCTTTTGAAAAAAAATTTAGTTGTAGCAAAATACACATAATATAAAATTTACCATCTTAGCCATTTTTAAGTGCGCAATTGAGGGGCGTTAAGTATCTTCGCACTGCTGTGCGGCCATCGTCACCCCCCTCTGCGGAACTCCTCTCCATGCTACTTCCTGTCTGTGTGAGTTTCAAGTGGCTTTTCCCTGGGAGGTAAGCCACAGCGGCTTAAGCTGAACACACGATTTAGGTACAAGAAAGCAACAATTAGAGGTAAAGTCACTAACGTGAACATGGACCTGTGTGTGTGCATGGGTACAAATCAGTAGTTTCAATATTTTTTAGATTTTTAAAATCCCTATAAACATATCAAAATTGGGATGGGGGACCCTTGCCTGGCGTACCCAGCCATGAAATCAAGAGGTGGTTATTTTTCCTAACTAACTAGCTGTATGCTAGTTTTTAGCAAGAATTCTGAGGCAATTCCCTTGATCCTGGGGTCATGAGATAACTGGGCTGCTCGTGAGATGAGAACTGGGGAGAGGGGCAGGGGTGGGCCGCTGTTTCCCTGGGGAGAAGCCGGCTTCTAATCCCATCCCTGGGTCACCACTCCCGCTGCCCATCCAAACGTCATTCCAGCCCAGCCTGATGGAATTGACGACATTTCAAACTTACAAAAATGACACAAAGAGCAACCATATTACCTTTACTCAAACTCACATTTTTAACATTTGCCTGATTTCCTTTATTATTTGTGCTCACACCTGGTCAGGTGCATTTTCTCTCCCTGTCCCCTCCCCTGTCCCTTCCTCCCCCTCTCTCTTTATACACACACACAATTTGAGGGTAACTACATGTGTCTTGGCCCTGCTCCCCTAAATGCGTTAGTATTTATTTCCTCAGAATAGTGATGTTCTCCTCCATGTCCACGGTACAGCTATGAGCTTCCTGAATTTACACTGATGCGATTCTTTCATCTGCCTGCCTGTGTTTGTCACTGGACCCAGCGATTTCCTTCCCAGCACTACCTGTCACTCCGGCACAGGGTCAGATACTGCCTCTGACGGTCACATCGCTTTAGCCTCCTTTGTCTTGTGACACTTACACAGCTTCCTCTGTCTTTCGTGACATTGACTTTTTTAGAGTATTCTGAAACTGGAGCATTTTGAGGTTGACAGGACACATGTCAGGAGCGTGTGCTGGTTGTAGTGGTTCACGGTGACCTTCCCCCTGTCATAGAACCCTGTGGAAACATCAGCCGCACTTCTTGCTTGTCTCCTGTCTTTCTAGGTCTGTTGGCGGTGACGATGGTTCCTTTAGACTTATTTAAGAAGCAGCCTTCTGGACCACAGAGCTTTACGCTGACCGGCGGGTCCGCCCTTGGCAGCTCGGTGCTGGGTTCGGTCACGGCAGAGGTATGGCGATGTTCTCCCCCACGGCCAAGCTCTGGCTCAATCCGCTTGATCCAAGAGCATCTTAACTCACGTCTGCGAGAGTCTGGCTCTTGCTTCCCTGTGAGCTGGAGGCGCACCTGAGAAGAGATGCTGTTTCACGCTATGCATTTCTCGACTCGAGTGGGACACCTGCTGCCCATGGTCGGGTTGGGTTGTCAGCTGTAGGAAATAGCCGTCCATGAGGCCACTCGATGGGCCCAACCCAGAAAGGCCTTTTGGCATGTTGTTTGGTTCTCCAGCTTTTCCATCATCACGTGTTGAGTTGGCTGTTTGAGCTCGGATCTCATGGTTCTGTGTTAATTCTGGGAAAATCCAGATTAACCGGAAATGCTAAGTGACATTAAGTGAAGAGATCATTGGTTATCTCAAAAGAAGCCAGAGTTCACTGCTCATCAGCCTTTGCATGTGCTACAAAACAGTAACAAGTCTTCTCTGCAGTTTTCTTACGTAGAACCCGGTGAACTGAAATCCTGGCCAGTCCCTCCCTCTGTTCCCGCTGCAAAGATAGAGAAGGACCGCACAGTGATGCCCTGTGGGACCATAGTCACTACTGTCACTGCCGTGAAGACCAAGCCTCGCTTCGACATGGGGAGGGCATCCCCGCCGAGCTCTGGTGAGGCCGTAGAGCGCAGTGTCATAGACGCGCTGCAGAGTGCCCGGCGCTGCAGCACTGGGTCTTGCTAAGAAAATCTCATGGCATAGGAGCAATGGTAATTGGCAAGACTCGAGATTAGTTTTTGTTATTGTTGGACAGTTATGTTTCTATTCTGTCCAATAAACACATGATTAGTTCAAGTAGGGTTCAACCTCATAGTTGAACCTAAAATCTAGACATTATAAATAGTTATACTTTGATGTAACTGCAACCACGTTATAGCAAGCAACCGTTACATTTGTGTGGGAACGGCGTGCTATCTTAAAAAATTCGACGTGAGTGGTCAGTGTAGACTTTCCTGTGTTAAAGATCATTTATCAGAAGGCTTGACATGATGTCACTTAGATCCAGCTGAATTCCATACTTGTCCCCACAGCCACAGCCTCATAGACAACTTGTCTGATTTATGATTTTTTACAATTTTTACTGTGTCTCTGCTTGTATAAAAGTGGTATCTTCCTGGAACGGATCACTTGTCACGGTTCGGGAATGCACAAAAGTAAGGGAAATCTTGGCTGAATTAAAATGTTTCTGCAACTATATTCACCTGGGCACCCAGCACCGCTCTTGCCTCTGCTCACCTCACTCCCCAAAGAATAAGAGAGAGTGTTCGGTCTTAAGGCTTCGGTAAACCTTGCCTCTACCAGCTGCCCTCGCTGGGGTTGCCGCGAGAGGCGCCATTTCCCTCGTCGGTGACAGTGAAGGAGCCCTGGGTAATCGGGGTCTTTCCCTGGCAGAGTCTCCTGCGAGGACGCCCGTCAAGGTGAAGGTGGTCGAGAAGGACATCTCCGTCCAGGCCATCGCCTGCCACGGCGCCCCCGTCAGCAAGACGCTGTCTTCTTCGGACACAGGTAAAGCAGGCGCCCACCTGTTCTCCTCTTAGCGCCTGCGGAGACTTTGGAGCTGTTCTCCCAGCCGCTTTCATCTGACGAGAAGCAGATATTTCCTTTTCAGAGTTTGGGAAGAGTGGTGTTGTTTGGGTTTGTTTTTGAGTAGTGAGTGAAGGAGGAGGAGGAGGGAAGGGAAACCCAAAGTGAGGGGAGCCCAGGAGCGGCGCTCACCTCCCTGCTCCGTCTTAGGGACGGCGTTAGCACAACAAACATAAAACCAGCTGAGGCTTCGCTTTATACAATTGCTGAACGTGCTGTTTTCTCTTGTTCAACACGCTCGTTACGTTATCATCAAATCAGTAGGACTCGGGGAGCGTAATCTTCACATTCCCTGTATTTTCCCCACTGTCTGCTTAAACCTGTTTAGTAGGAGTCCTGTTCCCCCAGCTCCGGTTGCAAATTCCCGGTTTTTGTGGCCACTTTCCAGTAACAGACATTTTTAAAGACAGCCTCACTATTAATGTACCTTTAAATCACATTGCAATCTAAATTTGGGGATTGACTTCCTGCCGTCAGAGACAGGCAGGCGGGCGCTTCCTGCTTGCTCGTCTCTCCCATTCACCGAGTCCACTGAGGTCCCAGCGGAGCAAGAAGGGGTGGCCAGCAGATTGCAGGGCGATCCTAAGCCGGTCTTACGGTCTCTCAGCCTGGTGGAGTTTAAACTGCCTCTTCTCGCGCAGGAGTTTTCATGGTTTTCTGGACACTTCCCTGCCCCTGGCAGCTTCTTGGACACAGGCCCTGTCCCTCCTCTAGCCGCCACTCCCAGTGGCCCTCCCCAGCCTTCCCCCTGGTAGTGCACCCCATCGCCTCATACCAGGGGGGCCTTCGCCTGGGCAGGACCCCTTTTTAAAAGGCCCTGGGCTGATGGTCCACCGAGGGCTCCTCGTCCGGTCTGTGGCCAGGGGAGCCAGGCCCCGGGGTCCCTCTCCGCTGTGCCACCAGGAGCCCAGCTGTGGCCACTCACTGCGCTTCCTGGCTGCCTTCCGCAGCACTGAGGGGCTGCTTCAGGGACCGTCCAGCCCGCAAAGCCTAAGCTATTCACGCTCCGGCCCTTTATGGAAAATATTTGCTAACCACTGCTTGTGGGCCATTTCCATCATCCTTGGAAGTGCCCACGGAAGTGTTTAATTCTTGCCAGTGGACTCAACACTGCCTTCTCTCCGGCAGAACTGTTGGTGTTGAACGGTTCGGACCCGGTGGCTGAAGTGGCCATTCGACAGCTCAGTGAATCTTCAAAGCTGAAACTCAAGTCTCCGCGGAAGAAGAGTACCATTATCATATCAGGGATCTCCAAGGTACAGTCCCGGGCGTCGGGGGTGTTGGGTCTGGGAGGGACCAGCTAGGGGTCAGCCCGAGCACTCAGTCAGCAGCCAGGAGGTTCCCAGAAGGTTCTGTTTACAAACGTCGAATCACGTTTCTCACCCGGCAAGGGAGTGATTCGTGTGTTTTGTTTATGCAGTTTTCCCTGTTTGTGAAGGAAACTTGCAAGTTTCTGATTGTGACGCTTTGGGCGCTGAGGTTGGTGAATCGTTTCAAGAGAAACTATTGGAAGTGGAGGACGTGGTGTGAGATCCCCGTTGGCGCGACCCTCCACGCTCGTCGCCGCCCCCATGGGGACCTCTCACTCTCCACGTTGCACGTTTCCGGAGCACTTTAATTTTTTGCAGTGCGTGTTTATTCCTTTTGCACTCAGAGAGCAGGGAGGAGTGTTGTGTCCTCCGTGGACACCCCGCCCTCCCTTCTTTCCCTTCTCTGGCCCTGGCGCGTCTGCGGAGCGCGGGGCTGGGTGGGAGGCCGCCCTCAGGGCCAGGCGCCGTGCACAGGCCCGCGCTCTCCCTGGACTTTCCCAAAGCAACGAGTGGAAGGAGGGTGGGAGGGTTGGCTTTGGAGCAGGAGGGGATGAGGAGGAAGAGGTTGGAGCACGGAGGGTGGATGGGACACTGCAAGGGCCCCGAGAGGGTGGGCAGGCCGGCGTGAAGACCGGACTCTCGGCGGCTGGGAGAGGGGCCAGAACCAGGCCTGAGAGGTGCCAAGGAGGAATCACCTGTGTCGCTGTTGTACCTAGAGGGCGGGTGGCCTTGCTCCAGGTCGCCACGGCGCCAGCCCACAGTAGCCGTGAGCACATCTCCAGTGGCAGCCAGCAGGGCCCGTGGGGCGCAGTGGCTTTCTGTGGTCCCGGGGGAGCGAATGACGGAGGGAGGGCGAGACCCATGGTCCTGTCCCTGTACTTTCTCTGACGTTTTATTTTAGAATCATCAGGAGCTCTTAGAACTTACCGTTTAATGTTCTTAATACACTGCAGTTATTATTAATATCTTTATTGATGCCACATCGTGCCATCTCGAGGCCGTGGGCACTTCTGCAAGCCAGCACTGAAGTCAGAAAAGCGCCATTGTCCATTGTCACTAAGCAAACTCCCCATGTAACTGCCACCCAGGCCGAGGACAGCGTGACCACCCCCCAGGGAGCCCGTACCCCCTCCCGGTCCTTTCCCAGCACCCAGGAACCACCATCCCCATTTTCAACCCCATACATTAATTTAGCACCTAAATGTTTGACGCATAAATATGATTCTTAAAAAGATACGAAGTGTATACTAATCAAGTTCTACGTGCAGGTAACATAAAAATGCTGTAGGAACACAGATTAAGAGACAAACTAAATTCGAAACACCCACGCTCACTTCCTTTGTCACCGCCTTGCTGTCGGCTGCTTAGGAAGAAGTGCTCACTCTTGCGTCTCGCCTCCTTCCCAGCCTGCTGGGGCAGGGGTGTTCACTGCTTCCTGACCCCTCTGACCCGGGGGCTCAGGGCCAGTCCCCTCACTGCCAGGCAGCCCTGAGGGGCTGTAAGCAGAGACCTGCCCTAGTCCCCTTGTTGTGTAAGCAGCTGCCACGTTGTATACGCAACTTTTCCGGATTTTCCAGACCCTCCCCCTCCTTCCACGCATCCCTTCCATCTTCCCCCGCACTGACTTTCTCCTTCACTCTCGGCCTCTGATGGTGCGTTTTGCCCGGACAGACCTCACTATCTCAGGACCACGACACTGCCCTGATGCAGGACTATGCGGCCTCCATGGACAGCGCCCCCCAGGAGGACACCTCGTCCCACCTGGATGCAGCTGCGGCCTCTGCCCCGCCGGAGGAGGACCAGCCAGCCCAGGCCCCCCCTGGCCCCGAGCCCCAGGAAAATGAACTGGACTCCTGGGACCTGGAGAAGGAGTCCCAGGCTGCCGCGTGGAGCGGCCCAGCCGCACTGGACCCTGATGGGGACGAGCTGTCGGAGAGCTCCCTGAGCGTCTCAGAGCCGGGCGCCGCCAAAAAGCGTAAAGGTACCTGCTCCCGAGACCCCCGCACCTCTCCCTCGGTGGCTTCGCTCTCCTGCTGGTTTCCAAGCGAAATTTTAGTTCTCATCATCTGCTTTCCTTCCCTTTGTCCTCCGCAAACTCCATCCCGACCTCACTCTCCCCTCCAAAAACACCCTGTGCTGAATGCTTGAGCCACTTAGAGCCCATGGGGGCACATCCTGTGTGTGAGCCTCTGCATCTCGGGGCCAGCTTGTGTTCATGCCCGGAGATGCCCCTTGCTCTGTCTGGGCTCACTCCACCTGGTTTTGGGGGTCACCAAGAGCCACACATGGCGACAGGGCCAGAGAGACCCAGAACAAAGCCAGGCGGAGACTAGTTCTCCTGCAGCTGTGGATATTAGCACCTCTGCCCACTGGTACCTCAGACTGTCCCCTCCAGCTAAAACCAAACCAAACCTCACCACCTGGACCGCATAGGATCTAGGGGACAGAAGCTCCCTAGAGTCACTAATTGATTAACTTAATATGTGCATAGTAATGAGGTAATCACTTCATTAGAATAATTGATTATTTTTTTATTGGCACTAAATCATTGCTTTTAAATTATGACTTTCTTTAAGTACATGCAGTTTTGCCCAGATAGCGCCTTGGCATAATAGTAACTTAAATGCGTTTGCTGAGGGCAGACTGTCTTGGGGCTTGGAGTCTGTTCTAGATGTGCGACTCCAAGACTCACTGAGCCTCAGCTTCCTCCTCTGTGAAATGGGGATCATGCCCACCCCCTGTGCCCACTGAACTCCCATTCAGGGAGTGGCAAGGACAGCCCCGGCAGAAGGCAGGGCCGGGGTGGAGGGAGGCAGCCGAGCCACGCCCTGGCTCTGCCTCCCGCGTGGGCTCCGAGGCTCTTGCGGGACCCTCGGGGTTCCTGCGCCTGTCCAGGAGGAGTCTCCGTCACTGAGAGCGCGGGGGTTGGTGAGCTGCCCTGCCCCCGCCCTTCTTGCCCTGTGTGCTCGTTGCCACGGACCAGGGTTCTCTAACCCGGCGATGCTGGCCCCGGGGAGTATTGACGACGTCTGAGACAGTTTTAGTCCTCACCCTGGGAGTCGGTGCTCCTGGCAGCCAGCGGGTTGAGGGCAGGGCTGCCGCTCGACACCCTGCAGTGCACGGGACGCCCCCAACACGGCAGCCTCCCCGCACCAGTGTCTGGTCCCTGTGTCTGTGGTGCCACAGGTGACAGCCGTGGGCTCCTCCCCTGTGTCGCTCCCCCCACTTCCTGCCTGTGTCCCTCGCCGTTGCGCGGTGGCTACTGTCCCGCGGCCCATGCCCTCGCCCGTGCAGAGCGGGAGCTGGAAGTTAGAGGAGGAAAGCGGGAAAAGGGGAGGAGACGCCAGGTCCGGTGTCCAGACCGCTGAGGGCTGTGTGCGTGGAGTCCTCGGAGCCCTTGGGGCTGTAACCTGCTCGCTGACCCCGCGCTTCGTGACGACGCCTCTGCACGGTTGTCAGAGATGACCTGGTCGCCTGGCACACCGCACCTCTGGCCTGTTCTTGTCTTGGGACCAGAGGAGCCCGAGAGGGGTGGAACCGAGGCCGCGGGTGAGCTCCGGGCAAGGCAGGAAACACGGGCGCAGGATGGGGTGTCCCATCCTCAACCCGATGGGCCATTTCCTCTCGTCCTCGCAGAACCCAGACCCCCAGTCTGCCCTCCTGTTCACTCTGAAATGCCCCGCCTCGCTCACCCTGTTCATCCAAAAACCAGTGTTCCTTCTCCAGCCGTTCTTCCTTCCCCCCTGGTTTTCCTTCCAGAGAGTTCTTTCCCTTCTGCCCGTGCTGTGGCAGCCACCCCGTCCTCTCCTTCACTGGCCAGGTGGCTGAGCGCGCCTTGGGGACACAGGGCAGGTGCTTCGCGCTCCCCGCAGAGGCTTGGCGTTGGGGAACGCGGCGCAGGCGGTCGCGTGCAGCGCCTTTTACACTGCGGCGCTGCTGCATTGACCCGAGGTTTTTAAAAGGACATATTTGGCAGCGGTTTTAAAATTGCTTTTTCATTCCAGTGTTTTTTAAGAGGCTTGTACTTAGCGTCTCTGTGAGATGTTGTCAGAATCTTAGACGATTCTGTGTTAAGCGTTTTCATTTTTCACCACAAATTTTCACAACTGGTCACAGGGAGCGATGCTGCGGAGTTTCCTCTCCTTTTCAAAGTAAAGCCTGTTTTCGTTTGTTTTGTTTTTGTTCTTGTTGTTGTTGAAAGACCACCTGTCTCCCTGTCATAGCAAGGAGCTCGTGCTGGGCTTCTGAGCACGCCCGTATCGGAATAATTCTGGAATTTTGCTGGTTGGAAATGTATATATTGTGATGCTGTAGCCAACACAGGAAATTTATTCCCAAAATTTACATTTATTTTTCGTTTAAAAAAGTATCAAAGAGGGAGGTTTTGGAAAAAAAAAAATTAAGCCGTAAGAAACCTTGCCAAATGTCCTGCGCGGTGACTTCGCGAGGGTGTGGGAGGCAGGGGACCCCAGGCTGTGCTGACGCGGTTCTCATGTTGCTCTTGCTGAATTCTCCTCACCTCTTACTTCTCTTCGTCTCGTGCTCGTTCCCTTTCACTTAAGAGGATCGCTATGCCAACAAGAATTAATTGCCTACACAGTAAGTTATTTTTGTCTTCTGTTTTTGAATTACGTGTAGCCGTCCTGTGAGAAAAGCCTGTAGCGGCAGAGAGCTGACCTGCCTGCCTTCCCTCCTCTCCGTACTCCTCCCCTCGACCCCCCCAGGCTGCTAATTCCCCCCTGTTCCTTCTCGAAAGCGCGCTGGCTCACGTCAGTGTAGCACCTGCCGGGCGAGGGCGCTCGTGCTGTTACCTGACAGACCTCGCTGTGACACCCACTGTTCCCTTCCTTGTGCTCCAGCTGTAAAAAGCAGTCACTTCTATAAAAGGACCATCTAAGGCTGTTCTTGGGGTAGCAAACTACAATTTCTAAGGTTGCTTTTGGTCATTCTTTTCCTGCCTGCTGGATTTTATAAGATGGGTTCTTCAGCTAGCTGTTTGCGTCTGTTAGACTCTGTAGACAAACAGGAGAAAATCTGGAAGGACTATGACATTAGAGCTATAACTTAGAATAATTATTTTTCTATTCCTTCACATGTATGTTCATACCTGTGCCTTCTCGTGAATTCTTTTAACCTTGCTAGAACCAGCGAAAGACTTTTTTTCTTCCTCCCTGTCCCCCATTTAGAATCTCGGTTATTTGCTTCAAATTTCACGTAGCCTCTCTCCAGACTGTGTCTTTGGGAGGTTTGGGTGAGGTCTAAATCTTGTGTCTTGCTGTCGGTACAGCAAAGGTAGCCTGGGATAAAGTAGTCAGGCTTTATAAAACCAAAACAGCCAAGCTGTTCTTGCCCAGCGTGTGAACTTCCCTATCAGGAAGTGGCAACGGGTTCTGTGGGCTCAGAGTCAGGTGCGACGGTACCAAACCTTCGGGCGTGTCCGTCTGGGTCCTCCAGAGAAGCAGAACCTTAGGTTGTGTGTTTAATGCATTGGCTCACGCGATCGTGGGGCTAAGTCTGGAATCTGCAGGGCAGGCGGCAGGCAGAGAGACCTCGGTGGGAACTGACGCTTCAGTCTTGAGGCAGAATTTCTTCTCTGAACAACCTCAGGTTTTGTTCTCAAGGCCTTCAGCTAGTTGGGCGAGGCCCACCCACGTTGTCCAGCCAACTGGCTCTACCTGTTAATTACATCTGCAGGATACCTTCATGGCAACATCGTGATTAGTATTTGATCACTGGTGCTGCGGCCAGGCTGACGCAGAAAAGTAGCAGTCACAGCCGCTGTTGGTCAAGGTGGGCGGACAGGGACCTCCCCTGCAGCCCCGGCCCTCTTGCCCACAGAGGGCAGCTGTGTTCTTACGGCACTGCTAACCCCAGAGGTAATTGTGTGTAGTGGCCTAAGTTTAGACAGACTCTAACATTGTTATTTAGAAGTGAAAATTGAAAGCCTCTGTTTATATTAGTTATTCTTCGTGGTGGAGGAGCCAAACTGCTGACCCAGAGACAAGGTTGCCTCCTTAGAACGTCCTCTCCTGCCTGCACCCCGCACGCCTCTCTGCAGGTGTAACTCGTTCCAGGGACTCTGCCCCAGTCCTTGCTGGAGGGTGCTCTGCCCGGGAGCCCTGACGTCTTTGATCCATCCACGCTCTTTGGAGGCCCCTCTCTGGGGGCCTCAGCCATGCCCTTTTCCCCAAGCAGCTGGCCAGCCGCTTCTCAGGGATGGGGCCCGTCATCTTCCAGCCCCGACGCCTGCCTTAGCCACACGGAAGGGTGGGGTGTGAGAGCTCGGGCTTCAGAGCCAGAGCGCCTGGCGTCACACCCTTGCCCACCTTCGGAACTGTGTGGCCTCAGATCCGTAGCCTCCTGGTTCGTCTCCCTGTTCATCCAAGAATCTAACAGATGTAGATAGCTAATTGGAGAGTCTGTCTTAAAATCCAGGAGGAGGAAAACAATGACGAAAAACAACCTTAGAAATCGTAGGGTAAGATCTTTCCTTCCTCAGAGGTTATTGGGGAACGTCCCTAGAGTTCCAGCCTGTGGAATCGCAGATCTCAGCCCCACCCCTCATGGGACTGTCCTCTGTACAAGAAGCTCATGTCATCCCCACAGAAGCCGTGACAAGTCATGTCAAGTTAAGGGAAAGTGTGTAAGTCACACAAATGACTTCAGGAAGATTTGCACGAGGGTACCTATGACATCTTCTGGTTCCTGGTGTTGATGTTTCACTACGAAATTTAACAAAATAGCAGACCTGCTCCAGAGGTCATGAGCGAGGGTGGAAGAAGAGAAAACGACCCTGTTGCAGGTCCTCAGCGCGGTGTGTGGCACATGCAGGCAGACACAGGGCGCACTGGGGCGGGCAGTGCCATGAAAACAAGTCAGCCCTTGGCTGGTGGGACAGACCGCAGCCAGCAGTTCAGTGTCAGACAAACATATCATGCAGATCTTCCTAGTCCGCCAATCTCACATGCAGGTTGAAATTCTGGAGAGTTCATAATACGCAAGAATTCGAATGTTAGGCAGTTATAGTACAATATCACTTAAACGAGTTATAGCAACTGCTCAGAATTGTGCAGATTCTCTTTTGAAAGTCTTTTGAACACGGCCACGCCTTGCCTGTCGCTCTTGGCCTCTCCGAAAGGAGGTGCATGCAGCAGGTGGGCTTCGCCTGTCCACACGGCCCTGTGGCTGCCCGTCCTGAGAGCGTGCCGTGCGCAGCAGCGTGGGAAATGCGCACAAACGCGTGACGTACTGCCTGCCTTCCTCGGCGCTGGTCTGTCCCCTGCAGGTGCTCTGAGAGCCATGGCGGTTTGGCGGGACCCGGGCTAGCAGGTGCCAACCCAGCAGCATGTAAGAAAGACCTGGGATGTTTTGAACAATGCTCATGCCCGGTGTCCCCAACCCCCCTCATGTCGGATCCTACAGGGTGGGCCTGGGCATCTGTGGTTTTGGAAAGATGCTGCTGACAGAGCGTGTCCTGGGACTGAGGACACTGCTCTGCTCTGCTCCCGATTCTCCCATGCGGCTTCCAGGGTTCCCAGGACTGAACAGGAAGGCATGCAGGGCGTTTCCAGACCTCGTCTGAAGTCCAGTACCCCCTCACCTTTCCTGGCTGGGCTACTTTCCCAGGGCCGTAACAGAGTACCATAGACAGGCGGCTTAGATGACAGGAGCGTGTTCTGTCTCCGTGCTGTGGGCTGGACGTCTGAGATCGAGGCGTCAGCCGGCCTGGGCCCCCTCTGCCGTCTCTAGAGCAGACTCTGTTCCAGGCCTCGCTGCTGCTTCGGGTGGTTTGCGACAGTCCGGTGTTCCTTGGCTTGTGGAAGCATCACTCTGACCTCTGCCTTGACCTTCACGTGGTGCTCTCCCTGCCTCTCTTCACGTTGTTCGCCTTCCGTGTCTGTTTCCAGACTCCCCCTTTTTGTAAGGACACCAGGCACATTGGCTTAGGGGCTCATCCTAATGACCTCATTTAACTTGATTCCGTCTGCAAAGGCCCTATCTCCAAATAATGTCACATTCTGAGGTTCTGGAGGTTAGGACTTTAACATATGGATTTTGAGGGGACACAGTTCAGCCTGTAACACTATCCCTGTCTAACTTGGGCCCTGTCTCCAGACTCCAGACCAATTTCAGCACAGGGGTAGCTATGAAATGGACTTTTGGGGGGACTCTTCCAGGAGGGAGCCTCTTACTGCCAGGGGTGCTAAGTCCTTAGGTCTGCAGCTGACCCAGGGGGCGGGTTGGTGTGTCATTTCCCCTGAGGGGTGGCTCTGATGAGCAGTCCTGGGGAATTCCACGGATCCCCTCAGGCCTTCCCTCCTCGCCTCTGTCCCCCACTCACATGTCCTTCAGGGGCTCCAAGGCCAGCGTGAAGCCGAGCCCCGAGGCAGGTGCCTATAGATGAGAAGCACCACCTGGGCCCCTTCCCCTCACCCCCCCCAACCTGAGGTCACCTGGTGGGCCCAGCGTCCCCTTGTGGCCGGGGATTCCTCTGCCTGGGAGCCCCCATCGCGGTGCCGGGGGCATTTTCCCAGCAGGTGCCTTAACCCCATGGGCACCACTGCGCCTGTCTCCCTGGCCAAGCTCCAAAGTCACGTCCGGTTGGCGGTCACTGCTGGGCTGTCAAGCACACCCTGACGGGTGATTTTTCACAACCCGCTGCGTGTTTTGGGGACGTCCCACAGGTGGAGCCCGTCGGCGCTGCCGACCAGAGCGAGGTCACGTGCGCACGTGCACTACTTCACCCTTGTCCGTCCCCCGAGGCCCCTGCAAACAGGCTCCCAACGGCAGATACTTGTAAAAACTGTCCTAAGCGTTCTTCATAGCAGGCGACTTGGTTGTGTCTTAAAGAGAAAAGTTTTAAAAAATCATTTTATGGCAGCTTTGACCAGATTAAATTCAGTCCCTCCTGGAGCTCTCTGTCTTTGTCGTTTCTGCCCCTTAACGCGCCAGAGCAGACGTGAGCCGGAAGTTCATCCTTAAAGTCCTGCTCAGGGCGTGTGCTGCTTCCCAGACAGGCGCTGGTCATCAGAGACGCCCGGGCGGGGCTGGTCGGTTTCCCTCGCTGCCCTCAGGTGCCGCGTGCATCTGGACGAGGAATTGATCTTCTTTATCCTCTGCTGTGATCCAAGTGCATGGTTATCCGGGGTGACTATGAATGTCTGTTGGATGTGCCTATCGCAAACAGAACGAATTCCCAAGTTAAGTGTAAAGCTCCTCATCAAAGATGATCACACGTGTCTCTTTTTTAAGTCATTACTGCCTACGGGCAAGTGGTAATGAATGTCCCAGGTTAGCCTGAAATATTACTCACCTGGCCTTGGTTAATAGGACGTTGAACTAATGTGTGAGAAAGCAGACCAAGGGGCTCTTGCCTGCGCTACTTTAGCGCGTACTTGATCTGTGAGGAATCATTGCTGTTGAAGTTATTGCTGCTGTGGCTATTTTTTTTTTTTTCTATTTCATATTCCACTAGCTGAGATCACATACAGATAGGTCGAACTACATGAAATTGAGGTTTTGCAGGTCAAAAATCATCCAGTAGAAATTTTCAGATGGCTTAGCCTGATCTATATACCATAGGATCTGGAATTATGAAACAATCTGAGTCCCGAAAGAACAAATATTATTTAACTCTTCTAAGACAGTGAAAACCTTTGTTCTCGGGTCCTTAATTTGTCTTGATGAGCACAGCCGTACTTTCTGGGGTACGATACTGCTTCTCCATTTACACCCTGCTAACGAAGGGAAGTGGTGAGCAGACCGGACTGGGGTGGTGAGGGACACAGCCCTGCTGCCATTGGGAGTGACCAGAACGTCCGTGGTTGCCGGGAACGTGGCCAATGTTCCCCACAAAAAACTGGGTCCCTTTGGTAGAGTTGCAAGGGATAAGAAAATAATAGAGAAAAATGGAAAATGGAAGAAATAAAAGAATACACAGAGACAAAGATATAGTTTTATAAGTTTATAAAGATTATAGGCAAAGCGGGATCTCAGGGAGCCTAGACCTTCTCCGTGGGTCTCAAAAAGCCCCAAATGAGGTCTCACATGGTAACTTATAGGGAGTAGTGATTAATTGCCAGTGGTAACAGATTTACACAACAGCAGGTAGTTCCTCTCAGGTTAACAGATTTTCAAAAGGCTTCTACAGATCCTTTAACTAATTCTATCTACGTGAACAAATGGTTACAAAATCTTTCAAAGATTAACTTCTAAGTTCTAAGGTAAATTTATCACTTAACAGAGGGGTTAAACAGAGATATGTTGGCTCCATATTTATTAGGTTATTGTGAATGGAGACAGGTAGTCTAGAGTGGTTTAAACAAGAGCTTTGCTTTTAGCCATTCGGGCAGCTGTCTGTTCCGGGGGGGCACTCCATTGTCAGCTCTCAGCCTGTAGTTTTTAACAGATTCGCTTTGCTTTACAAAGCAAATCCAAACCTTTAGGTCTGAGAAACGCGGCACCTTGTGGGGTACAGCCGCTACTGTGTTTCAGAGACGCCCTTCCGAGTGCAACAGCATTTGAAATGCAAACCAACATGTTCAGGGCAAAGCTCTGCAAAACTCCTAAGACAGATCCTGTCTGCAAACACATCTATATTAATTCATGGAGCAACACGTGGTATGAATGCCTTACCTGGGGAAGGACACCATATGATGGGCCGGGCTTACGGGTTCTCCTGTTGTCTTTTGCATTTCATCCTAAAAACTCTCGTTTTATATAAGCCACATTCCAGTTCTTATGGGAATAGCGACAGTACATTGAAGTCCTAAATTGGCCCTTTTTTAGAGGTGTTCAAGCTTCCTCTTTCCTTTCTCCTTTTGGAATAGTGGTTCCGCCTTTCGTCCCCAGCCCCCTTGACATCCCTGCACTTTCCTCTTACAGGAGGAATCCTGAGGAAAAGTGCAAAGCTGTTCTTCCGCCGGCGGCATCAACAGAAAGACCCAGGCATGAGCCAGTCACACAATGACCTCGTGTTCCTGCAGCAGCCGGAGGGGGCCCGGAGGAAGGGGGTCACCCTCACCAGGATTCTGAACAAGAAGCTGCTCCCCAGGCACAGAAGCAAGCACGCCATGAACGGCGCGCCCCTGGAACCCTGCACGTAGGGCCTGAGGATGGCGCCTCCTTGAAGCCGGAAGACGTGGACCCGCACTAACCGCCCTCCGCAGGACAGATGGAGAGTGTCAGCCACCTGTCTGACACCCCGCTTGTCTAGCTGGGTTTTTTCCAACAATCTAGTCTTTTAAAGGGAAAAAAAAAATCTCAGTCTCCAGCCAGGAGGCTGCCCCTAGAGAGGACTGAAAAAGCCCCATTTGCCACCAGATGCCAAATGAGACCGACGGCCCCATAGCTTGGCTGTGCTCAGATCCAAGAGTTCAGGGTGAACGCTAGAAGGAGATGTACATTGTGGTAAGATCGTGCCCTCAGTGGACTGTGGAGGGCAGGTTTGGGGGACCCACTCTGCACTCTGACAAGTGTTGTTTTGGGTCCATGCCTGGACCACGTCACAAAGAGGAGGTGCTCGCTGTGCTGTCACTGTGAATGGAACAGATGGGTCACCTCTCCTAATTTGCTGCTTAGAATAAAAAGGTGCAGCTGGCCCCGAGTACAGGGAGGTGGGACATAGGCAGGGTTTTGATAAATAGAGAAATTGTGATAGGAATGGAAATGCTATGACAAATGTAGGAAGATATTTGCCTTTGATATTAGCCATAGAACTCGAACACTTATGCAAATACTGAATATATCCTATGCATATGTATTATGCTGAACACCTCCCTAAGTTTACTTTGAGCCTCCTTGCAAGTGGAAGATACAGAAGTTCTTATGTGGTTTTTACATTCTTCGCTATCATGAGAAAAGCTCTCCAACTACCGTTGGAGCAGGTGACACCCAGATCTTTCTTCCTGCCTGTCATACTTGCTAGACAAGAGCACAGCAAGTCTGTCGAAGGAAGGTAGGAGCAACAAGAGCTCACAGATCATGCTAACCACACACATGGTTTTTGCCAAATACTGCCAAAGGCCAAAACAAAGTGCTTTTAGGGCAATAGAGAAAATTATTTGTGTCTCTGGTGTCAGTCTTAGGAATGGAAGTTTAACAACCGGGGCCAAACTTCCGATAGACGTGCTTGTTAAAGAGCAGCTGTCACTGGGCAAATGGTTTGGCAGATCAACAAGATTCATTTTCCTCCAGTAAGATTTAAAAGGCTATTCCGAACACTTGACTTCTGTCATGGATATGAAATTGGGTGAGCTTCTTTCTCCAGGCTCTTTTGTTGATCCTTAAACATTAAATGTCTTAGGGGCCATAGAGCCGTTGCTGAGCAAAAACCTATATAAAAACAAAAGTTATAGAATTCTTTTTTTGAGGAAGAAATTTGAAAACTACATTAAGAATTTCACTTTAAAATACACATTAAAAACTTCTTAGGTGTTCCAGGAATGAGCAAGTTACTTTAAAATGACTTTTTCACCATCCCTTGTTTTTAAAAATTATGTTCCAATTTTAATCATTGTAAAACAGCACCTGGAGTTTCAAAATATATTAATACTACCAAGTTAGTCCCCAAAGTTAGTAATCACTAGCAGTCCTTCGGGACGGACGGTCACACTAACATTTTGTTCTACTTGAAGTGTTACTACTGTGGGTCACGTGACAAACAGAACCTCTGACACATAGGAATTAATTCTAAGAGGATATCATGTGTCAGAATTTCAGACACTAATCAGAAGTTTATAATAGTGTTTTTTGTTTGATTTTGAAATTCAGGTGGACTCAACGGATCCAATGTATTCCAGTGTGAAGGTATCAGAATTTTAGATTAAGATTTCTCGCCGTCGAAAGAAAAAATGTTTTTAGCCATCCCATTCCCAGGTTAACCCCATGAACATTGCGTTCGCTGTTTAACACCTGTGTCTAGGGCTCTGCTTCCTGTAGACACACTCACCTCCGTCTTGCGGCCTTTTCTGAAGTGACGGAAAACACTAACTTGGCAGGGAGTTGACGAGGAAATGAAGAAAGCATCAGGGTGGCACTATGAGAGAACGGGCTGTGTTGATACTGTGAATGTTTCTTTTCTAAGCTGTTTGTTCCGGGTTTGTTTTCTCACGGTGTCGGGTATTTATGTTAAAGTCAATGTCGATTAAGATCATACACCAAACGCTAAACATACTAATGTGTATTTTAGTGACTAATGTGTAACTTGGTTCCTTCGTCTCTTCGACAAGCTTTCGTGGCTTGAGGGATCTTGTTTTTGGTTTTTGTCTCGATGAAATTTTTGCAGTGGTATTTTCAGAGTGATTCCTCATGAACACTGCTATGAACGTGTGTCTGTGTCTCTGGAACCAGGCGCTCAAGTCGCACTTAGTGAGCCTAAAGCCCTTCCGTTGTGCCGTTGGAGGGTGTGCCTGTGTGCTCTGCGGAGCTTAAGTGTGTGTGCGTTTGTGTTAATGTAGCAACGACGAAATCTCCTTGTTCAGCTGGAAACCTGCTGCGAGAAAGAGTTTTGACAGAGCACTTTATTTTCATCAAGTTCCAAGTTTAAGTCCAAAACCAGCCCTCCCGATTGCTGCTTGGCCAGCCGCCAGCCAGATACAAATCAGGTGCCCATCTAGACGTTTGCTTGGGTTTTACTGGCCACATCTGTAGAAGAGAGTTGTGAATTTTCTTTTTTAGCAGAAAGGGAAAGATTAATTTACATTGCTGCCAACAAAAGCGGGTGTTTTCTGGGTAATAATCTCGAGGCTCTCGGTCTGGATATCTCAGAGTACCGATTGGCGGATGCGGGAAGTCAGAACATTGATCCCATCAGAGAGAAAACAGGTCTCGGCAGTATCCCCACTGCCCCAGGTAGGCATAGCCGTGATTACCAAAGCAACCAGCACGGGGCAAGGCCGCTCTTGCATCCTGCAAAGCAAACTCAGGTTACCTTTGGCTCATGACCTTCCATGTTCCCGTTTTATGTGCGACAAGGCATTTGAAATGCATGAAACTGCCCAGTTCCCTCAGCTAACAGCTGGTCAGTAACGTACCATTCATCGAGGCTTGTAGTTTGCTGTTTTTTTCCCCCGATGTTATGTCAAACCTACATTTTAAAAAGAGAAGAAAAGCTTTTCCAGGTCTGTGGGAAGATTTGGCCAGATGCTGGAGTGTGGTGGTAAATTTACGTGGCAGTGATTGTATTTCTTGGTAGCACTTTAAAAACAGAAGTCAGTCCTGCACCAGGCCTGCGCCCCGGGCTCTGGGCGGGCTTCTTTGGACACGTGGCTGGAACATGAACAATCTCTGAAAGAAATAAACGTGCACATGGAACACTACACACGGAGTTGTCTTTGCTGAGTCCTGTGCTGTCCCTAACATGCTGCTTACATGATTTTTAAGCCATTTAGCGTCCTGTCTAGGCCTGGGACTAAAAGCATTTACTAGAGAGAGTTGGAGTTCCCGGGAACCTTTGGGTCACAGCACATCGCGGATGCTTCCGGACAGGGCTGTCGGCAGAGCCAGGCATGGGGTAGCCGGTGGGTGGCACACTTGGGAAGTGACAGCAGGGTGCCGGGGCGCAACCACAGGAGTGACATGGGACAAGGTACCCACGAGGGCTGTGATATGACCCCACATGTTCCACAGGGACCTTCTGAGGTGTGCTGTGCACTTGGGAGGGGGGAGCGTCATTTCATCCACAGGCTCTGGTCGTCAATTCCCCACCCAGGCTGGTTGCCCAGGCAGGTGCAGAGGGGGACAGGTGCCCAGCTCGGCCGTGGGTGCAATGGTGCCTGCGCTTGCACGGAGCTCGCGGCAGTTCTGGGGTGGGGGCAGTGGAGTCAGGTGGTGCCTTGTGCTGTGAGACCCCCGCAGACCTCTCATCTCCTTTTTGGTCTTCAGTTCCCGTCTTCTTCAGTCTCATTCCTGCTGCGGTGCCCAAACACCAGAGCACTTGGAGAACTACTGCACTGGGGAGGTTACTAGGCAGCCCCCCGTGCCCCTTGCCCTTCCTCTAAGCTGCCCTGCCCCCACCTGCCCGCTAGACACAGTGTGCGTGTGCAGAGCGGCCACTGTCCCTCATCGTTCAGGCATGGACTAGGCACTCCGGAGCCCAGATGGATGCATGTTTTGCATTTCCGAGGAGTGGTCTACCTATGGAAAGAAAGCCTCAGCCCTCGGCTCAGGGCTGGGATTCCAGATCTTCAGCCAATGTCCTGGTCGCTGAAGGCAGCGGTGATGGCAATGCATCTTGTCTGGAATTAGAACTGCTTTGGGACCAGGAGATTGAACTGTTGCTTCCTCTGTGTGCCGACACTCCAGGGCGAGGCTGCATTGAGTTGCTGGAAGGACAAACTTGTCCTAATTTACCAACTTTCCTAACTTGATCTGCTGGTCACCTCCAGGTGAGCCCTGTGTTCTTGCCAATGTGTCTACACTGCCCAGATTATCCACCTCGACCACCCTTGGTCATTCTGCAATGTGCACCTTTGTTCCCAGCAGTCACCCCTCAGGATCCTAATGGTCTAACCAAACTCAAGCCCTGCCTCCTCCGTGAAGGGGCTTTGGCTACCAAGGATGCTGAACCAGGGCACTTGCCTTGGCGTGGTTCAAGACCCCATCTTAGGCTCTGTTGCCCTGCGTCATTCATCCTCTCCACTCAGTGCCCACCTAGCAGAGCAATGACAGAGGTCAGCTGATGCCCCCTGCATAAGCACAGACGGCAACTGTGCTCACGCCCATCCGATTGCCTGCCCCAGGACCCAGTGTCAGGACAGAGCAAGAGGCTGGAGGGAAGGCACACGACCACATGCTGTTTTGACCTCTGCACCCCTATGAATACAGGGTGCTGTGTGTATATGTCAATAAATAGTTCATAAGCAAATGCCAGTCGCTCTTAACAGGGGGCTAGAAACCAGGGTGGCTGACAGCACAGGGCCCACCCTGGAGAGAGAGCTGCTGAGGCCAGTCCTCCTTGCCCATGGTGACCTAGAAGCATCAGCTTTCATACACTGACCACAGCTGACCCTGGCTCCGTCCCTCGACCGTTCACAGGGAAAACTGCCAAGTTGCACCCTGCATGTAACAGACGTGCAAAACTGTTGCTTATATATCTTCTTGATGTCATTGATATTTATAAAGTTGGATGTTTAGGTGCCTTGGGCACCCTTATTGAAGGGTTATGAGCTGCTGTCCCAGATGGAGCACTATACTAATCCCAGAGGATCCAGGAATTGATATTCTAGCTGGGTGGCAAGCATAGTTTTTATACAAAAGTTAGAGGAAGACTTGAGTTCACAATAATAGCTGATACTAATTGAGCACTCACTGTGTGCCAAGAATTTTTCAAAGTGTTTTCTATGTAGTGACACATACACTCTTGGAAACAACCTTGTGAGTTATGGTCTATGTCAGCTTTACAGATTAGGAAACTGAGGCACAGAAAGGGTAGGTAACTTGCCCAAGGTGCTAAGGGGCAGAACCAGAGTATCCACACCTGGGCTGTCTGCCCGGAGAAGCCACGCCCACAGCCACAAGTCTCTAGTTCTGCCTTATGCCAAATGGAGAGATTAAGGACTGAGGCCTTAATGTGGTCTTTTCTGAACTTCAGTGCTGCCTGTTTTGGGTGAGAATAACATAAAGTGAGATTCAATATTTTGCATGTAATAGAAATTAACTTATTTGCTGATTAGACTTCCTTCTTTATTCATATGAGGACAAATAGCCAGATTTTTTAAGAAATTAAAAGCCGGAGGTGTCTGGAGAGGTGACTGCAGATGTCTATCCTGCTTTACACTGAGGGAGGTTTGTATTTAACAAGAATCCGGAGCCGATGAGACATGCTAATTGGGAAGTGTGGGTCCAAGCAGGCCGGCGACAGGCCCGCAGCATTGCCCTTAACGATTGATTACATCTTAATGCCCCATCTGGTCTCCGTGCAGGAAGAATCAAGTGTTCATAGGAAGATTCACTGGTAATCATGGCACTCTTTTCTGTTGTTTTTTAAATTCTCAACTTATTTTTTAAAATTTCAAACCTACAGAATAACCCATAGACCCTTCACTTAGATTCACCGATTTGCCACATCTGCCGTTTCTATCTGCCCGTCTGCCTACCTAGTTGTTTGGAGAGACCATACTTCACCCTAAATCCTTCAGAATGTGTTTTCTGAGAACAGCGGCACCTGGCTATCATGCACCCAGGATAATGATCACTCCTGGGAAATGTAATGTCGATGCAATACTATTATCCAGTCTCACAGTGCATATTCCAATTTCCCCATTTGCCCCAAACCATTCTTTTTAGTTTTTTTCCTGCTCAAAATTCATTCAAAGATTGTATGTCACATTCGTTGTTAAAAATGAAAATTTGACACTTTAGGCAACAAAACTTTTTTTTTAACTTCAGAATTTTGGAGATGAATCTGCCTTAGAAAGTATTATTTCTAGACTTTATTGAAGAAATATATTCAACATACTAAGAATTCTTTTAAAGGCCGGGCACGGTGGCTCATGCCTGTAATCCTAGCTCTCTGGGAGGCCGAGGCGGGCAGATTGTTTGAGCTCAGTAGTTCGAAACCAGCCTGAGCAAGAGTGGGACCCTGTCTCTACTAAAAATAGAAAGAAATTAATTGGACAACTAAAAACACATAGAAAAAATTAGCCGGGCGTGCTGGCGCATGCCTGTAGTCCCAGCTACTCGGGAGGCTGAGGCAGAAGGATCGCTTGAGCCCAGGAGTTTGAGGTTGCTGTGAGCTGGGATGACGCCATGGCACTCTAGCCTGGGCAACAGAGTGAGACTCTGTCTCAAAAAAAAAAAAAAAAAAAATACATATAGAAAAAACTAGCCGGGCATGGTGGCGCATGCCTGTAGTCCCAGCTACTCAGGAGGCTGAGGCAGGAGGATCGCTTGAGCCGAGTTTGAGGTTGCTGTGAGCTAGGCTGACGCCACGGCACTCTAGCCAGGGCAACAGAGCCAGACTCTGTCTCAAAGAAAAAAAAAAGAATTCTTTTGAAGATGCAATAACCGTGGTGAAAGTGAATCCCAGCCCTGTATGTACTGATAGGAGGAATGGCTTTGGGTGGGTTGAGGTCTTTTGTCTACTTTTAGTTATTTGCACTTGCTGTGACCTGCCATTTTTTCCCATAAAGAACCTGCTTTTTGTTCATGTACTCCAAGATCTATTTCTTATGCCCAGAGAAGCACCCAACTGGGCATTCTGGAATTGCAAATGATGTCTCTGGAGGGGTGTGTGAGTGAGAGAGAGAGAGAGGGCGAGTGGGCACGGACGTGAATGAAGAGGTAAAACCGGGGAGGTGTTTGAAGCTGGAGGGAGCCTGAGGGACTGAGGAAGGCTGGAGGGAGGCAGGATGCCCGGCTGGGTGGGATGAGCAGGGAACAGGTGAGGGTGGAGAGGGGAATGATCAGAAAGGTCTGGGAGGCCATGGGCAGACCTACTCCAGGGCAACTGGGAAGCTGTCCTGGAACGCTGGGGAGGGCAGGGCAAGGAGCCCTAACAGCAGGACACACTGGCACAGGCCCTCTACCTGCACAGCCCTGCACCCTACCGCGTGCCCAGGTGCACTCGGCACATTGCTTTGGATGGTACTTAATTGCGAGTAGCCTCACACGTGTGCCGGTTGGTACACGGGAGTCTGTCTCTGGGGTAATTCCTGTACAGGGAATTGCTGCGTCAGACGCTATGTGCATTTGGAATTTCTGCGGATATCCACAAATTGCCTGGATGGCAGCGACATGATTTATTCTCCTAACAGCAAAGGATGAGAGAGCTTGTTTCTCTACAGTTACTTCAAAATTATACTATTAAACTTTTTCAAATCTTTGCTAATCTAATAAAAATTATCTCACTACAACTTTGTTTTTTCTCTTATTACAGAATCATTGATAGCTTCTCACGTGCTTAAGAGCTATTGTACTTTCTGTGAACTGTCTGTATGCTTTGCTAATTTGTCTATCAGGTAATTTATTTTCTTACTGAGTCATAAGAGCTTTACATTTTTGAGGGAAACGAGCCCTTCGTGGTGTCAATTTGAAATCGCTCCCCCGAGTTCACAACGCTTCTCTGTGTGATGAACGTTTCTGCCAGGCAGGAGGGAACCAGACCGTTTACCTCTCGGAACGTGAGGCCAGCACTGGGCTCAAGGTGTCTCGAGTCCGTTTCTCACACTCTGGGACTGACGGAGGGCACGAGGCCACGCCGCGGGGCCGGGGCAGAAACACGCAGCCAGGCCGGTTCCCAGCCTCTGCACCGCAGCGTCGCGCAGTGGCTACGGTTCCGGCGGGGGTGTCTGGAGCTCACCC